GAGGTCTGGGGAGGTCTGGGTAGGACCCACTCTCAGCTGCACAGGTTTTCTGACACTACATCTGGAATGGCCCAGGCCTGCTCCAGGGCTCTGGGGATCTTGCCCTGTAGGGAGCTGTAGGCCTGCAACCCGTGTCGGGGCTGCACAAGCCACAACCCTGGTGTCCTGTCTGCACTCAGCCCCTAGGTGAGAGGGGCTACAGTCTGGGCTCTGAGATCCTGGGGCACCACGGGCCTCAGCGGCCGTGTGTATATGAGCCGGGGAGGAAGGACCTGAGTCAGGCTGCTGGACTCCCTCCTCGACACTTGAGAGGGCCCTGCAGTGCCCACCAGGTCCCTGTATGCAGAGGCTGGCGTGTGTGCAAGGCATTAGAGTATGCAGGCAGAAGCGTTCTAGCTGTTGGGCAGGTTCAGTGGGTGGGCCTCGCATGCGGACTCAGACGCATGCACACTGTGTGTGGGGATGTCCCGTCTCCTGTGTTGGCTCAGGGCTCCTGGCAGGGACTGAGAAGCTGATTAGAGAAGTCTAAAAGCTGTGTGTTGCAGACACGAAGACTCACAGAAGTGACCAGGCCTGCCTGCTCGCACAGCAAGTGACAGTGGCAGGTGGTTGTCGCACCCGGGGCACTAGAGGAGGAGAGACCGTTGAACGGGATCTTTCCCTCCCTCGACCCTCGTGTCTGAATCAAGCCCGTTTCTACCCTGTGTGGGGGAAGGGGGTTAGGCACCTTCACGCAGGGGTTTCATCTGCTTCAGCAAGAGAGGGAGTGGTGTGCCCTGCCATACCTGTTGGTGCCCTGAGCTCAAGATAACATGGCAAAGTGGCCTGCTGTCCTCTCAAGACCAGCCCTACTGCCGCATTCTCCCCTCAGTCTTCCTGGCTCTTCCCGCCGTGGAAAGTGTGTGTATATGTGCATGTGTATGCGTGCAGGCATGTGTGTTTCTCTGTTGGTTCCCCCTCTGATGTCTCCTGGGCAGTGGGGCTCCTGGCTGCTGTGAGCACCTGCTGACCCATGGGGGTGCTTTGACATGTGCATGGGCAGTGGGACAGAGCCCTCCTGCTGCCTGGCCCAGGACTTCCCAGAGCCCCGGGTTTGCTGGGCTGGCCATGCCCTCCCTGCAGGAAGCTGAGCCTGCAGCTTCAGGCTCAAATGGGACAACCCATCTGCTGTGACTTTACACACCAGTTGTCCAGAGGAGCAGGCTAACCACCTGGCAGACAAGTTTGGACAGAGACGAAGGCAGAGGAGCAGTCTCTTCCTCCATGGCGCTTGGCTTTTTCAGTGTCATCACAGGACCCTATACAGCATTTTAGTCTATTTACTTTTTAATTTGACACACAACACACTGTAAAATTCATCTCTTTAATTATAGTATACAGCTTGGTGGTTAATGTATTCACAAATTTATTCACCACCGTCTGGTTTCAGATGCTTTCATTACTCCAAAACACCTAGGAGCGGTCACACACACAAACATACTGCCCAGGAGCAGCCCCTCAGCCGTGCCCCTGACAGTCTCTTATCTCTCTCTGATCCTCTCTGTGTGGCCCTTTGTGACTGGCCCCTTTCACAGAGCCTTTGAGTTGTCTCTGATTTTCCTGCTATGAGTGACACTGCTGAGAAAATTCGTGTGCGTTTTGTGTGGACGTGTGTTTTATTTTGGGTGCACAACTCAAGTGGCATCACTGGGTCACCTGCTAACCGCCTCTCATCTAAGAAACCGCCAAGCTGGTATTCCACAGAGCTGCTGCCCTGGTTTCCACACCCTGCGATTGTCCCATTGTGATGTGTAGTCTTTGTGGCCTTCAAAAAAAAAGTCAACTTGTGGTCTTTTTTCCCTTACTATAGAAGTGGTTATCTATTATCATAAAAAAAAAATTAGGAAAATGAAGATAAAAAAGTTACAGTCACTTTTTTTGTTATCCAGGGGCGGCCACTGGCTGTTGTTTCTGAGACTGTGACACCCTTGGGCCGTGTCCACTTGATGTCCTTTCATGTTCCTCCACGGTGCTGACGTCGTCTTTCCAGTTTTCCCTGCTCTCATTCTTGCTGTGATGAACTTTTTTTTTTTTTTTTAACTGCAGGAAGCATTTTTTTAGGTTTGGATTTTCCCTTCAGTTGAGCTGCAGGAGTGGGGTCATCAGGCAGGGGCCACCTTGCGATTGTGCCTGTGTCACCTGGACTGTGCAGGTTCACTGCCCTGGCCAACCATGTTACAGGTGCCAGGCACTGAGCAGGTCCCCAGGGGACTGGGGGTGAGGGTGGGGGACTGGGAAGCTTCTCTGAGGGCAGAGCCCCTGCAAGCCCAGAGGGAGAGAGCTGCAGGCAGGCGCATCCCTTGCTCTACAGGTTGTGAGCTGAGCGTCTGAGCAGGACAGTGCCCTCATGTCCTGGCACCACCCGAGCTGAGTGACCCAGCTGCCCTGCCCGGTTGCTATTTTCCAGGGGTCCTTGCTGCGTCTCTGAGCCCCAGTTTCCCCATCTGTAAAGCAAGTGTGATGGTGCGTACCTCAGAGGACCCTGCATTTCAGGAGAGTCTGCCCACATGTGGCCTCAGCTGGCCATATGGCCGGCTGGGGTCTGCCAGTGTCCCTGCCCTTACACTTCTCAGGCCGTCGCTGGGGCGCCGCCTTTTCAGAGACCCTCCCAGGCCTCCCTAACCTTCTTCCTTTTGTGCCGTGAGCTGTGAAGTGGGACTGGTCTCTGCTGGTCGCAGTGGTGCTCCTGGTACTGCAAGACTTGGGATGTGAGGGTGCACAAAAGGGCCAGGCCTGCATGCTGTGGGTCCTCACACATGTTGGACAGTGGGCTGTCCCTGAGGTGGATTGGTGCTTTTGGGCGCAGCCTCTGCACAGTGGCTGCAGCCTGTGAGCCATCCCCCCAACCCCCATGGTTGTGTTTTGGGCTGGTCCTCTGTCCAGTGGGGGAAGAGGGCCATCCTTCCACCATCCCTCAGGAAACTGCTGCCCTGCGCCATCTGTCTGCGGGCCGAGCTGGGCACTGCAGGGTGGTGGTGATCGGGCCACCACATGCCCACCCTCCCAGTCCTTATGTTTGTTGGGCCTCCTGTAAACTCTGTCCCTTCGTCCCGTCCCCTTCTAACAGGGACCCACACATGGAGCTGCGGGAAGAGGCCTGGTCTCCGGGGCCACTGGATTCCGAAGACCAGCAGATGGCCAGTCATGAGAACCCAGGTGAGATGGCCTCGGGTGGTCCTCATCTGACCGTGTCCTCCCTTGGCTCCTTTTGCCTCCCCTCCTGTGGCTCTGGGACTGCCTATCCTTCCTCCAGAGGCTCTGGTCACTGCTAGCTTGAGCTTGGCCTTGGCCTTGCTGCCTCCAGGGCTGGGGAGTCTCCAAGTTTCCTTCCAGCTGCATGTCCCTGGGGGCCCAAGGGGCCACTTTGTTGAGGGTGCCCCTGTTTCCTGTGTCTCATGGCCCAGCTCCTGCTCCCAGCATCCTGGGCAGAGGCCCTGCCCCATTCTAGGTGGTCTCTTGATTCTCCCAGGCAGGAGACGCTTTAGACCAGGGGTGTCAAAACCAAATTTAGCAGGCTGGGATGCAACGGGGTGCGATGAGCCAAGACATGTGGGAATGACAGGACCACAGAGGGGGCTGGGCTGGCTGTCGGGGAAGCTGGGCATCTGGGCTTTCATAGAAAGTCTTTGAGCGCGGACAGTATATTCTCTTGAATAAATCCCAATAGAACTCATCCCTCAGCAGCTGTGCTGCCTATTTCTAGAGCTTTTACGCAGGGTACCCGAGAAATAAAGTGTGGACTTTTTTTGTGCTGTCGATGCGTCTTCATGCTGGCATCATGCTGGCACTGTCTTCAGTGTTTCTTATCGTGAAGGGCCAGAGTGGAATATTGTCGGCTTTGCAGGCCAGAGGTCCTTGCCGTTCAAAGCAGCCATTGATGGTCGGGAAAGGAACGGGCATGACCATGTACCAATAAAACTTCATTCACAAGACAGGCACTGAGTTTGCCACCCCTGTGTTATCCCAGACAAAGGCAATGAGGCCCTGGAGAAAGTTGGGTGGCTTGTGATTCTAAGATCCACCAAGGGAGAGTGAAGAGCAGCTTCCCGACGGCAGGGCCAGGTGACCCTGGTGGCAGGGAGGCCAGGGGACTTAGGACTGAGTGCTGGCACAGACTCTCCCCACCCCCAGCGGTGAGCACCCACCACCCATCCTTCCCAATTTTGTCCCAGGAGTTGTACTCTCCTCCTTCCTGTCATAGGACCTTGGCTTTGTTGTCTTTTAAAATTAACTTGGAACTCTGGTTTATTATGGAAATTTCAAACATAAATTAAATGGTGTAAGAACTCCGTTTCCAACCTTCCCAGCTTCAGCAGTTGGCAGCACTTGGCCAGTCTTATTTCACCATTTGTGCCCCTAGTTCTGTGGGGTTTTTTTTTCCTGTAGGATTTTAAAGAAAATCAGACATTGTATCATTTCACTCATAATTCTCCAACAGATAAGGACTCAAAAAAAATACAACTACAAAATGTATACCTAACAAAATGTTTCTGCTTAATATCGTCTAGTATCTAGTCTGTGTTACAATCTCCAAAATTGTCTCCAAAACATATGTTTGCCTTGCAGTAAATTTTTTATGTCATCAAGTCATTGTCTTTATAAAAAACACATAAAAAGCACAGGTGGGTTGTCCCCCTTGTCCAGCCCCGTACTCAACCTGTTGTCCCCCACTGAGAGTCTGATGGAAACCTGTGCTGAGGTGCCACCACCTTGCACGTCTCCTTAGCTGGTAAGCCATGTGGCCTAGATGCCTCCAGGTGCTGTACGTCTGCCCCTTTGTCCCAGGCCTGCCACATTTGAGGCTCCTGTGATGACACAATGCTGGGCTGATATCCCTGGGAAGCAGCAGATCTTGGCCCGGTATAGCTCCCTGGTCTGTTTCCGGAAGTTTTCCTCTGGCCTGTCATGAGGGGCATGGTGTCTTGGGTCAGGGCAGACACCTGGAAGGGGCATGTGCAGTGGACAGGCTGGGCTCCCATCCCAACACAGGGAGCAGCCTGGCCCCTCCACCGCTGCCGCATCCCTGGCTAAAGACATTTGGGTCATTGTGTGTGGCTCTTGGTGGCCCCGCAGGGAGGACTGGACAAATGGAAGGAGGGAAGACGGCTTGTGGAGAAGAGGAGGCAGTGCTCTGAGCCCTAGTGGGTGGAGCGGAGCTGAGGGACTGCCAGTAGGGCACAGACGCCCTTCCAGGTGCCAAGTTTCTGTGTCAGACCAGGTGTAGGCTATAGCCTGGAGAAGAAGGTAGGCAGGTGCCCAGCCCAGACTCATAGCTACAGCAGGACAACCCTTGTGCACCCTGGCGCGAGGCCTGGGACACCATCTGGAGCCTCCTGCGCTGGCCTGCGCAGCCTGAGCCACGCCACCCTGTGCATCTCATCTCAAAATAGATTTCAAGTAAGGCTGGTTCACCTGCCAGGCTCCAGCTGATGTCTGAAACTCGGATCACCAGTGGCACTGACCTCCCCGCTGTCCCTGCATCTATCCGTGTCGTCCACTCTTATCCACAGCTGCCAGTATGAGCCGCTTTAATTGGAGGCATGGTCCTGGCTCGCCTGCAGTGGTGCCCATGCCCTGTACTGCTCACCTGGCCTGCAGCCATCTGGCACAGCGTCCCTAGCACAGATGTGGGAGCCCAAACTTATTCAGTGTCACAAAGGGGATTCCAGCAAAGACCCCCTCTCTGGGGAGGCCCATCTGGTGGGGTCAGCACAGGCCTCACTGAGGGAGGGGCTGCCTGCTGGAGGGGACATGTGACAGGATGCAGAGGCCAGTGGCCCCACAGGGAGCTTGAGGAAGGAGATGAGGCAGTGTGTTGGACCTGCAGGGATCCTCTCAGCTGCCCAAAGAACCCACTGAATAGTGGCTTCAACCAAACGGATATTGGATGGCTGGGTAGCTGCTGGAGGTGGGTGGTTCTGTGTGGTTAAGTCAGCTGTCTCTCCATGAACCACACTGGTCCAGGCCCTGGTGGCCTCTGCCATCCTGAGGTGGTGCCCCAGCTGCCTCCACCTCCCTCCACCTCCCTCTACCTCCCTCCTAGGAAGCTACCAGAAGCGGGAGGACAGGAAGGGCCTAGGGAGGGGGCAGGGCCTGCTTTTCGCATCTCCCTCCCTCAGCCCCCAGCGTGGGTCTCACTGGTCATATCAGGACACATGACAGGGAGGTGGCCTTGGTGTCACCAAGTTTACCCCCCAACCTGCTTGGGCCTTTCTGGCCAGGAAGAAAGGGGACTGACTGCGCAGGCCCCAGCAGCGCCCCCACATAGAGAAAGGTTCTGCGGGGCCTCAGGAGAGCATTGGTAGCTTCTGTAGCCATTGTGGTGATGGACGCTGAACCCAGGGCCTGTTGTCCTTCCTTGGAAGCGGCCAGCCACTTGTGAGCTGTGGGTACCCTCTCCCCAGGCCAGAGCCTTTTTTGGCCCAAGGCTCCTTCCTCAAGACCAGTGGCTTCGCAGTTTCGGCATTCTTGGAGACCGTGGTCAAGGACGTGGGCCTGGTGGATGCCAGTATAAGGTGTCTGAAGTTTTCAGCCCTCCGTTCCCAGAATTTTGAACCGTCCCACCTTGATGACAAGAAGGTACCTTGAGAGACATGGCAGAGTGGACACTGTCCATCATCTGGAGCAGGCCCCGGCCCTCTCTGTTCTGGTGCACTGGCCCTGGAACTCCCACGTGTGTTCCTCTTGCTGTCATTGAGGCCCGAAGTCATTCACATGGTCACATCCCAGCCAGCCGTGTGTTCACATGAGACTGAGTAGAAGTTTGCAGGACAGTCCTCATGCATGGAGCACATGCAGCGTTTTCTGCTCCCACTAAATGGAGTCGGCCCACTGCTGGCTGTTACCTGCAGTGACGCTACTGTGGCACCGTGCTGCCCTGTTCAGTGACCAAGACTGAGAGGGACTAAGGCAGAGTTTCCTCTTGATGAGATCGGTATCCCCAGGGCGTTTGGGAAGCCTCAGGCATGTCATTTTCCCCCGCATGGGAACACTGGTGGAGTGAGTGTCCACATTCCCTGAGCGGATGCTGTGAGCAGTGGCCCACTTGCTATGTAGGCTCTTCCAGGCAGGAATTGTCACCACAGCCTGAGGGGTCAAGATGTTGGGCAGAGGCTACCGGGTACCACTGAGGGGGTCAGCAGCAAGGACGGCAGACCCGGGGTCCAGGGCTGGGTGGTGGTTCTGGGCCTGCTGCCACCAGGCCCCTTCTGGTCCAGTCTGGAGAAGTTGGGGGGTGGGGCGGGCACATCCAGGCCCATCTTGGGGCCTCAGATACAGGTGTTCAGAAAGAAGCGATCCAAAAAGTGAATAAACAAAAGACGTCCTGATTCTGAGGATGGAGCTCTCCTCACAAGAAATGTCTACTGATGTCTTGGAAAACACCCCTTGGGTGGCCGATGTCAGTTCATCTTTGTGATCCAGTGTGCTTTGGAATCCTCCAAGGTCACCTGGGACACCGCATCTGAGCTGGGATGGGGAATCCGTTGACCTCTGCAGACCCCTCACAAAACGGCAACCATTTGTCAGACTCATCTCCCTTGGGCCATGCTGATGATGACATGCCTCAGGTGTGAAGATGACCCCCCCATGTGCCGAAAATACAGTTGCATGGGGACAAACCAGCGGCCACATGTCTGTGATACCAGTGCCCTCTGTACATCACAGTCCTCCTCACATGTTCACCCACATTGCCTCGGGACAGTGTCGGTGCTTTGTGCCCTGCTGTGTGCGGTGTTGAAACACAGGAACCCCTGCAGCCCACGTGGAGCTTAAGGTCTCGTGAGGAGGCTGCCGGGGAGCATTGCTAGAGATTTGGGATTTAGGCTGAGAAGAAACCTGAGGGGAGCTCCTGGGAGCAGGGCTGGGGCAGGGCCAAAGTGCAGGGCTAGAGGTCGAGGCGCTGTGCCCTCAGACTCTGGGCCCAGGCTTCCTGGGAGAGCAGGGGTTGTGGCAGGAAAACACAGACCAGGGTCCAGGCTGCATGGCTGAGTAAGAGGTGGGCTTGTTTGTCCCAGGACAGTGCAGGGCCAGGCGGGGTGCAAGTGCGTGATAGGTCTCTTTAGGCAGCCAGTCACTGGGGGTGTCCTCAGTTTGCAGATGGCAAGACCAGGGCCCCATTAGGCAGACAGGACCCATAAAACCAGGGACCAGTGTGAGGATGGCTGTGATAGAGGCTACGTTATTTGTGGGGGTGCCCTCCCGGTTAATGGGGCCATGACTCCCATGCTAGCCTGCAGCCCTGTTAACCAGTCCTGTCCCCTTTCTCTCCCTACTCCACCCTGTGGCCAGGATTGTGTCCCAGAGCCCAAATAGGACATCATCACTCCCAGACTTGTACACCTTTGAGATGCTGCTGCCTACTGGCCCTGCGGACTTCTCCCTCTCAGCGAGTTCTCCCCGGAAGCCCTTGCCCCTGCCTGGTGTCCCTACTGTGTCCCAGGCATTGTCCCATGTGGGGAGAAGTCTGCAGGATGAGTAGTGAACAGTTGACTGTTTTGTGAAATGCCAGGGAGTGATGGACTTTGAGGAAATAGGGCGGGTAAGGTGACCAGTTGGACATCTCCAAGGGCCAGGTCCATGCAGAGCAGCGCACTGTCTTGTCCCAGCTGTGGACCTTGTCAGGAGCCTGCGAAGGGGCACACACAGGCAGGTTGGAGAGCTGGGTGGAAGCCCCTGGCCCAACCTAGGGCCTGAGATCCATGGACGGGCCCTATTTGGAGCTGTGGCCTCTCTGACACCTGTCCCCTCCCACCTTCTTGCCTTGTAGTGGACATCCTCATCATGGATGACGATGACGTCCCCAGCTGGCCCCCGACCAAGCTGTCCCCGCCTCAGTCGGCACCCCCGGCGGGCCCCCCGCCCCGGCCGCGGCCCCCCGCCCCCTATATCTGCAACGAGTGTGGCAAGAGCTTCAGCCACTGGTCCAAGCTGACTCGGCACCAGCGCACGCACACGGGCGAGCGGCCCAACGCCTGCGCTGACTGCGGCAAGACCTTCTCGCAGAGCTCGCACCTGGTGCAGCACCGGCGCATCCACACCGGCGAGAAGCCCTATGCATGCTCCGAGTGCGGCAAGCGCTTCAGCTGGAGCTCCAACCTCATGCAGCACCAGCGCATCCACACGGGGGAGAAGCCCTACGCCTGCCCCGACTGCGGCCGCAGCTTCACGCAGAGCAAGAGCCTGGCCAAGCACCGGCGCTCTCACAGCGGCCTGAAGCCCTTCGTGTGCCCACGCTGCGGCCGCGGCTTCAGCCAGCCCAAGAGCCTAGCGCGCCATCTGCGGCTGCACCCAGAGCTGTCTGGCCCCGGCGTGGCAGCCAAGGTGCTGGCGGCTAGCGTGCGCCGGGCCAAGGCGCCCGAAGAGGCGGCGGCGGCGGACGGCGAGAT